TATCTATAGCAACTACCAAAGCTCTAAGGCCAACCCTTTGACTCCCATTAAGGGCTCTTCTCTTGCCAAACAGGGACTTTGCTACTGTAATCATCTCTTCTCCTGGACCGCCAGATCCTCCTTATCTATAGCAACTACCAAAGCTCTAAGGCCAACCCTTTGACTCCCATTAAGGGCTCTTCTCTTGCCAAACAGGGACTTTGCTACTGTAATCATCTCTTCTCCTGGACCGCCAGATCCTCCTTATCTACTGTGCTGTTTCCATCACCACACAAATTACAAAATACTACTGCCCATCTGAAAAAGGAAATAAACCTTTCAGGACCCCACCCCTCCCTCCTGCTCCCCGACCTCATTTCTCTGCTTCCCGTTTTACCCTACCCCTCATTTCTCTGTGAGAAAAATGAGAGTAAGGTTCTCACCTCCCTACTCCCCAAAAGCTACATTTGTCAAGGGGATCAATGACCTCTTGCCAAACCCAATGGTCAAATGTAAGTTCTCCACGTGCACTAATTCTGAGTAGTATAGGACACCCTTTGGCTGTGTCAAGGATGTAACAAGTTGAAGCTCTTAATAAGGACACTTGTCTTTCGGGACATCACATTTTCCTGGTTTCTCACCCACTTGCTGGCCAGCCCTTCTTGCCCTCCCCCACCTCCTCCCCAAGTCTGCGTCGTGGAACGTCCTGGGAACTTGTTAGATGCAAAATCTCAAGTTCCACCCCAGATCTGCCCAATTAGAGTCTGCATTTTTTTTTTAAAAGATTTTATTTATTCATTTGACAGAGAGAGAGAGATCACAAGTAGGCAGGGAGGCAGGCAGAGAGAGAGGAGGAAGCAGGCCCCCCACGGAGCAGAGAGCCCGACGCCACACGGGGCTTGATCCGGATCATGACCCAAGCAGAAGGCAGAGGCTTTAACCCACTGAGCCACCCAGGCGCCCCTAGAGTCTGCATTTTAACAAAATTCCTCTCCCTACTGCCCCTACCACCAAAAGGGATTTGGCTGCCATAAATGTTTGAGAAGTACAGAGCTAGGGCTCCCTCTTCCTTTTCCTTCCTTATCTACACCAGGATTTGTCAACCCCTCATCTACTGACATATGGACCTGGGCGATCCTCTGTTGTGGGGAGCTGACCAGCACGTGGTGGGATGTTTGGCAGTTTCCCTGGCAATCTCTCCTCTCAGTCTTGACAACCAAATATTTCTGCAGACATCGCCAAATGTCCCCTGGTGGGCAAAATCGCAACCCCCACCCCAATTAAGAACCCCTGTTCTGCATTCATTCCCTAAATGATCTCATGTGTCTCAAGGATTTGAATACTATTTGCACAATGTGCAGTGTCCATGTGCAGCCAGGGCTCTCTGGCAGCTCCAAACATACGAATTCAATTTCTGGCTCCTTGTCTCTGCCCAGATGGCTGTAAACCTCCCAGACTTCATATGGTGAAACCCAGACATCCTATTTTCCTCCTCCCACCTGGCTGTCTTGTGCATGGCATTCAACAGACCCAGGCACTTTGGCGGCAAACCCATGCAATCCATCAGCTGTCCTGCGGGCTTCACCTTCAAGACACACCCCGAGTCCCCCATCTCTCATCCCACGCATCCTAGCTTTTGAGCCTAAGTCACCACCCTCCGTACCTGGCCTTTGTTCTCCACAGTCAATTTATGAAGCAGCCACAATGATCTTTTTGGAAAAGCCTCACCTGTGGAATGAGATCTGAACTCTGCAGGGCCATTCCTGATTCTAGCCTCATCTCCCCCCCGCCCTTCGCTGTATGGCTCACTCCATGCTCACTACACTGGCCTGCTTGTGGCTTCTAGAACATGCCAAGCTTGTTCCTATCTTAGAGCCTTGGCATTTGCTGTTTCTTCTGCCTGGAATGTTCTCTCCTAGATCTCTACATGGGAGTGCCCTCATTTCCTTCAGGTGTCTTCACAAATGTCTCCTTCTTGACCATTCTAAATAGCCCTCCTTCTGGTGCGCCTGGTGGGGGGTGGGACTCAGTCAGTTAAATGTCTGCCTTTGGCCAGGGTCATGATCTCCAGGTCCCGGGGATCGAGTTCCACGGAGGCTGCTTCTCCATCTCTCTCTCCCCTGCTCATGCTCCTTCTCACTCACTCTCGCAAATAAATAAATAAAATCGTAAAAATAAAAAATAAAAAAAAAACAAAAAACAAACAGCCCTCCATCTATCCTACTCTCTATTCTCTTACCCTGCTTTATTTTTCTTTACAGCTATCACTAACTTGACCTGACATATGATTTGCTAATTACTCATTGTCTGTCCTCCCCAACTGGACTATAATCTCCACGAAGGTGGGACCTTCCTATTGGTCGTGTTTCTAGTCCTCAATCCAGGACTGGGGCCTGATGTGTAGTAGTCGTCCGATCAATATTTGTTGAATTCATGACCCAAACGAACGCTGAGGACTCCCAGGACATTTCCAATCCTCAGGGGCCAAAAGGAGTTCAAATCTGGGGCCAGTTCTATTCCTTTTAAAATGTACAGAAACTGCCTTTAGAGCTTTTATAATTGAAAACATTCATTCTCTTAAGCTTAGTCATTGGAATTCTAGACATTTATCCTGTAAAGTAACTGGGTAAGTTCATAAGAGGGAATTGGAGCCCGGCAATGCCAGATATTCCCATTTTTCAAGAGAGAGCTAAAAACAGACATAAACATGAAACACCAGAATTTTAAATCTTGGCAACTAACTCGAGAAATATTTTAAACTATGAGGGCCAAGAAAAACATGGCTGTGGGCCAGATTTGCCAGCACGCCTCTCGTTTATAAGCCCCGCTTTTCTCCTCCATAAATATGGAAACAGACACCCAGAGAAGTGAGGCCACTTGCTGACGGGGCCTTGCTGACAGTAGTTGGGAAGCGGGCCCAGGATGGCCTGTCCATCACCCCAGGCTGCATCAGTACCCAGAGGGCCCACGAGTTGGTTTAAGAGTGATTTCTTCTTTGGGATCTAGTCTGGGCTTTTTTCATGTCTTCTCTGTGGCTTCATCAGGAAAGGGTACAGTGGGGCACGTGGGTGGCTCAATCAGTTCAGCGTCTGACTCTTGGTTTCGGCTCAGGCCATGATCTCAGGGTCATGAGATCCACCCCCACCCTCTTTATGGCCCCACACTCATGGGGGAGTGTGCTGGAGATTCTCTCTCCCTCTTCCTCTGCCCCTCCCACTCAGGTGCCCTCTCTCTCTCGCTCTCTCTCTAAAATAAGTAAATAAATCAAAAAAAAAAAAAAAAAAGAAAGAAAGAAAGAAAAAGAATAAAACCAGCCCAGAGGAAAGCAGAGCCCAGAGACAAAGAGATGACATCATCTGAGCCCATGGATACAGCTGTGTTTGGGTTTTAGGTCTAGAAATTCCTTTTTTAGCTTAAGCCAGCTGAAGTTGGAGGTCCGTCATTTGCAACTGAAAGAACTGTGACAGGAATGAGTAAAAGGGGTTGGAGAATGAAATCCCTGCGTCTTACCTTCCTGCTGTTTTCTGTGAGCCACTGGATTCTCTGCTGATAGAGTTCCACAGCCCTGTGAAAACACCAGAACCGCTCATCAGCCAAGGTCAGCTTCATCACTGAGCAACAGTCACTGACATGCATGGGAGGAAGGTGTGGATGGGACTTGGGGGTAATGTCTTGCTCTTCTCAAATCTGTGTCTCCTTAGAGCCTTCCGAGTTACCTGGAGATGATCATAAGTGTCCGTGGGGGAAGTTCAGCACCAGGTTCTCAGGGGACTGAGTAACCAAAAAAAAAAAAACCCTCAGTTTCCAAAATGTGGTTGCGGGAACGTGTTTAACTTGCCTTATTTCAAACCATCCCAACGACTAGATGGAAGACAGCATGTAATAGGTGCTCAAGTTCAGGACTCATCTCTTGAATTCAACTGACTTGCCCTCATTGAGGGCAGGTGGGATATGGGAGCCTATACAAAAGGGCAAGCAAGACCTTTGGACGTGAAATCAGGGGGCAGTGGGTGGTGGGTAGAGTTTTAAGGTATACGTGAGTATGAATAGAGCTGAGAGTATGAGCTTCATAATGGGGTGTGCTGGTCTTTTGAGATCCAGCTCTCCCATTTATTAGCTGCGTGACCTTTGACAGGTGTGGTAACCTCTCTGAACTTTTAACATGAAGATAATACCAGGGCTCTACCCGAGTTAATTGGCCAAAAGGCAGTTCCCTGAAAATCAATTTGCATTAACGGAAGGGACTTGAACATTCCTTAACATGCTTGATTCATAATTAAAACCAATCAACCAAAATATTGCAAAATTCTTTAAGAACCTGTTTAAACCTTCATACCCGATAAAAATTGCAATAAAAGTTACAGTTAAGGGGTGCCTGGGTAGCTCAGTCAGTTAAGCATTTGCCTTAACTGGCTCAGGTCATGATCCCAGGGTCCTGGGATGGAGGCCCACATCGGGCTCCCTGCTCAGCGGGGAGTCTGCTCCCTCTCACTCTCCCTCTGTGCTCTCTCTCTCAAATAAATAAATAAAATCTTTAAAAAGGAGTTACAGTTAAAATGTTTGATAAATCTGGCAAATCGGTCAGTTATCCATTGAACTCTGGAAATTCAGCTTGAGAGTGATATTATATTTCCAGTTGCTATGAGGATTAAGCAAGATAATGCGTGCAAGCCTTAGGAGAATTCCTGACACATTAATAAATGACACATATTATTATTAGAGTCTTTTAAGAAACCTCAGACAAACAGTGATCCTGGGTAAGAGAGTGCTACATCAGGGATGGAATGTGTATATAGGCTCAGAAAATCTGGTTTGGGAGAAGGCAGCCTGTCTCTTTTTCACATACATTTGCAAAATCTGTCATTGAAAGTGGTCACTTAACTATTACACCTCAGATGAAGGTATGAGGTTTTATGTGCTCACCCAAAGGGCCCACGGATTTTAAAAGGCTGAGAAAAACCGGTATGGTCCAATGTCTTCATTTGAGGAAAGAGGCCATTAGGACCAGAGGTGGGAGGGACCTGCTCAAGAACCCAGAGATCGTTGCCGGAAAAAAGTTATTTTTTTAAAGATTTTATTATTTATTTATTTTAGAAAGAGAGAGAGTCGGAGGAGGGGCACAGAGGGAAAAGGAGAGAGAGAGAATCTCAAGCAGACTCCATGGATGCGGGGCTCGATCTCATGACCTTGAGATGTTACCTTGATCTTGTGTGGCCTTGAGATCACAACCAGAGCCGAAATCAAGAGTTGGATGCTTATGGCCTGAGTCCCCCATGGGCCCCTGAACAAAGTTACTTTCAGGCTGCTGAAATGAGGAAATTCTCGAGCTCTCATACTTACTCAGAAAGCTTGGATTCGAACTGGTGGAGGATCTGGGTAGAGAAGTGCACTTTCCTCGTGATATTGCTGCCCTCCTCCCTGAAGAAGCAAAGTCTTAAGAAGGGGGTCTCTGGGGCCTGGAGCAGGGTGTTGCCAGGCTTGGGGGTGAAGGGAATGGCGCCAGACTCACAGCACGGCGGTGCCCTGGCTAAGCAGGTCAGCCAAGGTGAGCCTCTCAAACTGTAAACTGCGCGTTGAAAGCCAGTCTTCCGAGTCCTCCCCAGCCGAGGGTTGGGTCTCATCTCCCTGCAGCCTCTATGAGACAGAGCCAGAGTCAAACACAAAAGTGGGGAAAGAGAGGGCAAGTCTGAGGATGCCCTTGGTCCCCTCCACACAGATGCCCATGGGCTGCCAACTCCAACAGGTCCTTCCTGAACACAGTCTGTTCAAGAACTCACCTGGGGAATGGGGAGGCCTGTGTCCTGGGCCAATTGCTCTGGAAATACCCATTCTCATCCCTCACCTCATCTCCAGTGTGCGGCTGGACAGTTCAAGGGTCACTCACATCCTGCCTTATGCGAGACTGAATATATGGTGGCCAGACCATAGAGGACAATAGGACTCCAACCCATGGCCTTGATAGCAACGAGTCCATGAAATCAAACCACAACTGTAGCAACTGGCCCAGGATGGCCCAGACTTGAACAAGGACTGCCAGTTTTCCTATTTTTTTATCCCACATCCAGCTCAGGACCCAACAGAGAAGGCTAAATATGCCCTCAAAACCAATCTAGGAGACACCTGGCTTCCAGTTAGAGCCCCTCCAGCTTCCTCCTGCCAACACTGCCCTTCTGGGCACACCTGAAGCTTTCCCCCTTCTTTTTTTTTTTTTTTAAGATTTTATTTATTTATTTATTTATTTGTCAGAGAGAGAGAGAGAAAGAGCATGCACAAGCAGGCAGAAAGGAGGAGAAGCAGGCTTCCTGCTGAGCAAGGAGCCCGATGCAGGACTCGATCCCAGAACCCTCGGATCATGACCTGAGCTGAAGACAGTGGCTTAACTGACTGAGCCACCCAGGCATCCCATTCCCCCTTCTCACTATAAAATTTTCCTGATCCCTGCCTTTGAGTCTCTTCACTTCACACAAGTGAAGGTGGCTGACTCCCTTGCTGGTGCAGACGCACAATAAATTGCCTCTGTTCTCATTTGGGTGCTCTTTATTTCCACACTTCCATTTTCTGTATCTTGCTATGAGTTCTGCCTTGCTATCAGTCTGGTGGGTCCTCGACAAATATTTGTTGGCTGATGGAGGCAGGAATGGGTTCATCCTGTCTAGTCCAGAGACCAGAAACAGGAGCAGCAGGTAAAATATTTTAAATATAGAATTTCCTTGCCATCACAGGAGTCTGGCCAGGAAAAGGACTGTGCCCCCCTTGCTTATACCAGGTGACATCTGTGTCACTTACACAGTACCAAGCTCCAAATTTGGGTGGTGGACTTGGTGGTGGAGCTGAAGTCATTCATGGCAAGCATTCAACATTGGGATTGCTTTCTGGGAGCCAGAAGGTAAGGAAAGCTGACCGGAGCCTCTGAGCCCACTTGGCCCTGATCACCTCTCCTGGAGGCTGGCATTTCTTCCTCCCCACAGGGGGTGTTTCTGAGCCCTTCTATGAAGCAGGTGCTATCATTGGTGCTAGGTCTACACTGTGAACAAGATAGAAATGTTCTTGCCTTCTTGGACCTTACAGTCTAGTGTGGGCAGGTTGAGAGTAGAGAATAAATGAAACCAGTGTGTATAATTTCAGAAAGGAACAGTTCCAGGAAGAACATGGAGGAGGGAAATGTGACAGAGAGGGAGTAAGGTGGAGATGGGGAGGCCACTTCCTCAGGGTGGAGGGGAGGGGGTTTGGTCAGAGAAGGCCACTGTGAGCCGAGATCTAGAGGTGAAGAACCCGGCCCTGTGCATAAGCTAGGGAATGCTCATTCCAGGCAGAGGCATGGAGCAGGGAAGGGGTCACAGTGTTTATAGAGCAGAAAGGTGGTCATGGAGGTTGGAGTGTGGGATGTGACATGAGAAGGGGCTGGGAAGGTGTGCAAGGCCTGGTTTGGATGGGGCTTCCAGCACAATCCCTGTGCGATATACCTATAAGGTATATGTTGCCAGAATTGGCCGTCACTCCCTCTGGGTGTGGTAGGGCATCATGAGGGAGGCCAGCTGATGGGAACTGCCCCTATAGCACCATCTGATGGCTGGGGAATGGGCCTGTCCACCGTTTAACCTACCAGGACCCCCATCTCTATTAGAGATGACTGCGCCATTCCTGGGTGCCTGCTTGAACCCAGGCAGGGACTCCTTGGGCTTGTATCTGTCAGGGCTCTCATGGTAGCGGAGCGGTGGACAAAAACTCTGCAGTGAAAAACTCGGTGGAGTTGAAAACTCTGCAGGTAGCTGATTGCGCTCCACTAGGCAGGGAAGAGGACACAGGGAGAAGAAAATTCCAGAGAAGAGCAGGAGAGAAGAAAGGAGCACTGTAGGTGGAGTTCTCCACTTGCTTTGTGATGCTGGGCCGGTCAGTGGGGCTCTTTTCTCATCCGTAGAACGGGCATGTGAAGCTATAGCAAAACAGAGCCTTGAGTGTTGCTGCGCTAACAGATCCCAGCACTGATCCGCATCTCTCCCTCAATGAACATGAAATGCTGCTATTACAGTCCAGCCAGATACTATTGTATGCCCTCGGTTCTGTGCCTGAGGCCTGCTCACTGCCCTGTTCCAAAAGGAGATAGCAAGCCCTAAAGAAGTGTGAACAATACTGACAGCAAACACGTAAACAGAATCTATTATGTGTCAAGCACTGTCCGTATATTAACTCATTTAGTTCTACAAAGTCGGTTCCATCATTACCCCATTTTACTGACAAGGAAACTGAGGCACAGAGACTTTAAGTCATTTCCCCAAAGTCACGCAGCTGGTAAGTGGTATGGCTGGGATTCAAACCCAAGCTACATAGCTCACGTGAGCACCAAACTATGACTATCTTCACCAAGGACTGAGGGGGAACTGACTAAAAAGATAACTTTCTCATAGGCTCTTATGCTAATTAATTCCTGCCCTTAAACAGCACCTCCTAAAATTCATGGTCCCCATCTCGCACTTAAGGAAACGGTGCTTTCTATCATACGAACACTAGAGGTCACTCTCTTCATCTTTCAGGACTTAACAGACTCCCTGGTGGATAATTCCGTGCCCTGTAGACTGATAATTCACCTTTCTTCCATTTTACTTGTATTTGCAATGATCCATCGTGTTTCAGTACGATGGACAGACAGTGTACATTTTGACTGTAGGGCACACTGGTTACATACTAAGATATGTGCTCTACATAGAGAGGAGGAAGATCTCTGTGTTAGAACAATCCTTTCTCTCTTTCCCACTGCTATTCATTTCTGAGGTAAAGGAGGTCCCAGCTGTGGCTGGTAAGGGTACGAGTGGTCCTTGTCCGCCTGGGAACTCACCTACTTGATATGAAATTACATGAAGTGAAGACTCAAATTATCAACAACTGAAGTCATTGAAACAATCCCCCAGACTCTCAAGACTATTGACATTTCCTCATTTTCTTTTAATTAATTTAAGTAATTTAATTAAAATTATTTTCCTAAAGTATTTCCCAAAATACTTTCCAAGTATTAGCATGAGTACTTGAGGAAAGTCCAACAGGACCATTTTCCTGATTGGTTGATTGCCGGCATTAAAACTGTATTGTTTTTGACAGATTGTCATCTCAAAGACATCATCTTTAAACTCTCATGTAGATTAGGTAGGTGATTTTAGGCCAGACCTGCACCTAACTACTCCTGATGACATTAGTTTCTATGATACAATGAATTCTGTGGTCTAGACCACTCACCCACTGTCTGGTTCACGGACACATTGAAAGGCAGCCTAAAACCACAGTTCTGGTTATTCTTCGAAGTTAATTCTCTTGCCACAATGCTCTTGCTCTGACAGCACTTCCTGAAACTGATTTTTGGATCTAGGTTTTAGGAAATCCTAAAAGAAAGACAAATCTCAGAAAGGGGAATTTTAGAATTACATTCTCTAGTCTTCAGGCTTTGATAACACAGTCTTCATATACTCCTGAATGTTTCCTGATATGGCCAAGAAGGCTACAAGATTTCTATAAACAGCATAGAGATTACTATCATTTCGAAAGGCAAAGGATTAAAGATGAATGCTTAACTAATAGTTTTCTATCCTGAGATCCTACATGAAGAAAGAAACACCCAGAGTGGGGTGCCTGGGTGGCTCAGTCCCTTAAGTGTCTGACTTTGGCTCCGGTCATGATTTCAGGGTCCTGGGACAGAGCCTTGTGCCTGGATCCCTGTTCAATGGGGAATCTGCTTCTCAATCTGCTCTTCCCCGCTGTCCCCTCTCTCTCACACACACACTCTCTCATAAATAAATTTTTTAAAAAGAAAGTAAAAGAAACACCCCAAGTTTAACATATTCCACATTCCCTGACTATGATTTGTAAGCACTGTGACTCAGTTAAAGCACTATATTGTATTTACCAGTAAGTCCTGTGTCTGGTTAACATGTGTAACCAGTAGTCCATTGTCTGGATTTTGGCCACGTCCACAAAGGTCCTTCTGGTCCAGTCGCTTCTTTGGATCTTTGTCATTGTTTCTCCTCAGGCTACAAAACACACAGTGAGTGACTGATCAGTGTCCCAGCACTAGACATCGCCTCCACATTTCTAGGGTCTCCAGAGCCATTTATTTATTTATTTGACAGAGAGAGAGACACAGCGAGAAAGGGAACACAAGCAGGGGGAGTAGGAAAGGGAGAAGCAGGCTTCCCGCTGAGCAGGAAGTTAGATGCGAGGCTTGATCCCAGGACCCAGGGATTATGACCTGAGCCCAAGGCAGCCGCTTAAGGACTGGGCCACCCAGGCACCCCTCCAGAGCCCTTTTTATTTCTGTATGATAGCTGAAAAGGGTTCCTGTAGATTCCTGATAAAAGGTGAACTCCAGGTTCTTAAGACATTTTATTCTATCATTCTTGTAGCGAGAAAACGGAAGTCCTCGGGCATGAGCTGATGCCACGACCATTTATCCAGTCTTGCTTCGAGGCAGGTATTTCCCCCCTCAACAACCTGCAACAAAATGTTGGTGTTGTCTTCATTTGAAAAATCAGAGAGGATGCTTACCAGTGATCTTCCAGAAACGTATTATCTTGACCATGGAAGACAGGACTAGTATGTGTAGCCATTATTAAAACACCCAAAGCTTATTTCCTAGGTAGAAAAGGAACACCAGAGAAGAGAAAGATAAATGCAGCACAGAGACACCAGCTTTGGGGGGTATCTACAGTCAACTCAACTCTTCTGTCATTCATTCATTCATTCATTCATTCATCCATTCATTCATTCGCTAATGCTTATCAATTATGCCAGGTGGTGAGGATATGATGGTGAACAAGGGAACAGAGGCTTCTCAACTTTAGCATTTTTGACGTTTTGGACAGGGTCAGTCTTGGTTGGGAGGCTGTCCTGTGCATTGTGGGATCCCTGGCCTCCACCCCCTAGATGCCAGTGGCTTTCCTGCCTCCCAAGTTGTAACAACCAAAAATGTCTTTAGACATGGCCTAAAGTCTCCTGGGGGCCACAGTCATCCCCAGTTGAGAATCACTGAGGTAGACCTCACAGTCTAGAAGGGGAAGACGGATGTTAAAAAATTAAATTTAGTATCTATAGAAATTGTGTAAGTGCTAGGAAGGACGTGAACAGGATGACATGCTGGATAGTAATCAGGAAAGGGATTTGTTTTGTATAGCTAAGGTGGTCAGCTGCAGGCTTGACCTTGAGCTTTGACCCTCACAAAGGACAGAAAGGATGTAGCTGTGTTAAGAGTATGGTGAGGGTTGGGCTGCTCGGAGAGGGCCAGGAGTGATCATAAGGATTTTAAGAAGGGGGAGAAGAGGGGAAAATACTGAAAGGAGGTTGAATTCTTTTCTTTGTGAATGACATCTGTCCTCAAAGGGGCTCTACCTTGCAGCCTAGTCCTCACAGCTGAGAGTCAGCGGTGGACAAGAAAAAGATGCCTCCATCAGATCCTCTCTGGGTATTCAGAATTAAGAGCTATGTGGCCACAGCATACATTCAGAAGCGGGGAAAAGCTTGTCTTCAGATAAAGGGGAGTGAGTGATCCTTCCCTGCCTTGGGTCCCCTGGAGCCATTCTCTCTGACCTTCTTCTTGCCTCTCTGCTGGCTCCTTCCTGGTCTCCCTTCCAGGCTTATTCTCCTCTCCCGAGCATTTTAATTTGGTACTCCTCAAGGCTAAATTATGTCATCTCTACCCTTCTCTCTCTATCTTCTTTTCCTAGGCATTCTTATCTTTCCCTGTCCCTGGCCTCAACTGTCATATGCACACATTGATGACCCCCAATGGCATATCAAAAATCCAGACCTCCCACTCTGATGGCAGACCGTGTTCATCAACACTGGATATTTCCATCTGGAGTACCTCAAACTCAGTATGTCCAGGACTGAATTCATATTCCCTACAGACCTATCCTCTTTTCAGTGTTTTCTAGCTTAGAGAAAACAGGCAGTTTCCATCTACTTGTATGAGTCAGAAACCTAGGAATTGGGTGCCTGGGTGGCTCAGTGGGTTGAAGCCTCTGCCTTCAGCTCGGGTCATGGTCCCAGGGTCCTGGGATTGAGTCCCGTGTCAGGCTCTCTGCTCTGCGGGGAGTCTGCTTCCGCCCCTCTCTCTGCCTGCTTCTCTGCCTACTTGTGATCTCTGTCTGTCAAATAAATAAATAAAATCTTAAAAAAAAAAAAAAAAGAAACCTAGGAATTATTCCTGATACATTATTCCTATATCTAATCCATCACCTAATCTTGTTAATTTTCCCACTCTCCAACCTGTCCACATATCTGTCTCCAGTGACATTCTCTGTCCAGGGCACAGTCATCTCTGCCATAGACGACTGCAGCGGACCCTAACTCCCCACATTCCCCAAATTCCTTCAGACCCTTCAAATCCAGTCTGTTCTCACTGAAGCCAGAGTGATCTTTTAAAAATACAAACCCAACGTCACACCTCCTCTTCTCCCTCCTGCTTCAAACTATTCAAAGGCTTCCTTTCATTTCTAGGATGAAGACTAAGATTCCTATGATGGCATTTGAGGTCTTGCACGATTTGGGTGCTGCCCACCCACTTCTTCAGCTTTCCCTCTTTTCCCCAGCTCCCCCATTCTGTGTTCCATGACCCCTCCCTTCAATTCCTGGAATGGTAAACATTTCCTTTAACCACAGGGCCTTTTCACATGCTGTCTTTGCTCTGGAACATCCCCTCCCCCTCTCCCAACTTATTCTTGATAATTCAGCCTAAATGTCATTTTCGCTGGGGACTCTTCTTCACCCTCTCACCGTATTTCAGGTTCCTTTAGTGTTATGTAAACTCTCACAGAACTTGAGGATACTTCAGGATACTTTTAACTTAGAATGATACATTCTTTAGTGTGATTTTTAAAAATTGTTGTCTCTCTCCCATTAGACCATAAGTTACAAGACAGCAGGAACTGGCAGGCGATACACACTTCGGGGATGGGAGGTTGAGAAACTGCCTTGGTTCTTGAATATCTAAATGCTGGCCCCAGGCACTTGTGAGAACTGCCTTTACTTTCTGTTCTTGGGTGCCATGAAAAACCCTGTTCCTTCTAACTCCCCATCTTTCTGCTTAAGCTAGCTCATTTAGGTTTCTGTTACTTGCAACCACAAAAATATTGGCTAAGACACAGCAAGTGAGAAACTCAGGAGTTGCAGCTTGAAAAATAAGTGTGTGTGTTCATATGAAATCATTAAATAAAATAGTCTAATGATGGTACAGCAACTTGCTTTTCTCTCTGGGGTCTTTAATCTTTTACTCAGAGGATGCTTTGTTTTTGGGGCAGCACCAAGATAATGTAGCAATGTTGTTAATGTTAGAAAAAAAATGTTTAAAAAACATCTGGCTTTCCCTCAGGAAACTTGGCTGAGAGACCAGTGGCAGAGACTGTTGAAATAGAAATGCCTCGTGAGCACTGGACGCCCCACAGTGTCCCAGTTCTCTTTTTTCGGTGAGTGATTAACAATCTAATGAATTCAGACGCCTGCACGACTGGGTTCTAGGGTGACTGGTGTGGCTGATGGAGGAGGAGGGTGCGGTCGGCATAATATTCATGACACGATATGGTGTTCTAGAAAGCAACAGACCTTGGGTTTCTTCTTCTGCAGAATGGAATGGGGTTCCTGGTAACTGCCCTGCCTGCTTCAACACAGTGGTCAAGAGACCAAAAGCCAACACTGAGAACGTCAAAGAGCTTTGTAAATACAGAGTACTATAGAAATGCAGAATAGCGTTAGAACAATGTGCTGCTTCTTCAAGGGCTTCAGCATAGGACATGTAAGCCATCACTTATCCCGTGGACATTTTTAGGGTGTTTGCTGGGTCCCAGAAAGAGCTGGTACTGGGGAGGCAGAGAGGAACTGGACACAGCCCTTACCCTCCGGTCTTTGCTCAAATGAAGCCTCACTAGAGAGGGCTTCATTAATTATCCCATCTCAAACAGTATCCACTCTACTGTTTTCTCCAGAATGTGTTTTGTTTTAACATCTGAAGTCCTACGTTGTTTGCTTATTACCTTTCTCTCCCACCTGTCAACCCACTAAGAGTAAGAGATCCTTGATGGCAGGGACTTAGTGTTGGTCCCTGCTAGAAGTCTTTTGTATACTCAGTGCCCAGAACATAGTAGCTGCTCAAAAAACGTTTGTTGAATAAGTGCATTCAGGGCAGGTCTAGGGTTTAGACAAAGGTGGGCCACGCTGCCCTGGGGGATGGGGCTTGAGTGGGAAAGAGAATATGTAGGCTGGCCCCTAAAAGATGGCATCACGGGCAAAGGGAAAGAGGTAGTAGCCCTGGTTAGTGGATTAGAGAAAACCTCCAGCTAACTTCCTGGTTTGTTACTAGCTGGGTTCTCCTAAACATCTGGGACAAAGATCCCCCCACCATCCCCCCGCTGGGTTTGTATTTTGAATGGCCAGACAATCTAAGTCTTGCCCCATCCGGTCCATTTTACGTTCTGCTGCCAGGATGATTTTTCCGAGACGCAGAGTTGTCCACCTCTTTAGAACCTACTGGGGCACCTCACTGCCAGCAAACCATCAAGCTGAACCTTCCTTGCAATGTTTACTCTTCTTTTAGGACCCGTTCCTTGCTGACTCCTCCCCCTTACCGCCTACCCTTCTATGGGCCCTGGCAACCTCTACTTCCATGCACCTTACTATTTCATACCCTTCTTTGTTGAAGTTGGACCCACCTCTACAAACACCCTTAGCCCTACAAAAAGCCAGCAAGTCCTTCCTGGGCCCCATTTTCTGCCCTCCAACCCCCAGGAAGGAAATCATTTCCTCCTATTGCTGCCCTGGGGTGCCTTGTACCAAGATGTCATGGTCCTTCTCCCCAGCAGTCCCACTACTTCTTTGTCTGTGGTTGCATCCCCAACACGCAGCCCAGCGCCTGGCATATAGGGAGCAGAGGCCCATGGGCCCAGGCTCCCTAAACCTCTTTCCAAGGCTCAGCGTCTGGGTGTGCCCCACCCCGTCTTACCATCCTGCCGCCTCTGTGAAACTCACCCTCACCTGCATTTCTCCATTTATTTCTCCATCTTTGGGAGAGGGGGCCCTGGTCATCCCGGGACTCTGTTTTTCCTGGTTCCCACCTCCTCTATGCTCCTCCAAGCAACTCAGCGGTGGAGCTCGCCCTGCCAGGAAGTGTTAGCTGGTCTCCAAGGTAACAGACCGCACCACTGCCTGAAGCAGGGACAGGGGAAAACTCCCTCACCCCAGGGAAGACATTACCACTTCCTTGTTAACAGCCTTTCCCCAGGCACTTTGCTTTCTCCACCCCTACAGAAGCTTGGAAGCAGAATTTGGACTTCTATTTCTAGACTCTCTGGGTCAGCAGAAAATGATGGTTTAGACCAGTAGAGTCTGGTATGTGCTGCCTTGCCATGGTGGGAACTGAAGACAGGTAGCAGAGAACCTGTGCCGTGCCAGGCAGGAAAGCTGGTAACTGTCAACTTTTTCTCAGATTCCCTGGGGCCCCCCCAAACACACACCCTAAGAGAGGTTTGGCATTCCCTCACCTCCACCAGGTCCAGGCCCACCCAAACCTGGCCAATACAGCAGCGGCCTCAGTGACCTCTTAGCCTCCGAAGAGATCATCTACTGCTGTGGTTCCCAAACCCAGG